TAGTAGCTCTAGAACATTTTAAAGGACGGTAGCCCACCTCATTCATTTTTTTTCTGTATGTGTTGTGAAAGATGAAAAATTTGTGGATGCTGTGACTTGTCAACATCTGTATATACTTATACCTGGTGTCCTCTCAAGGAAAAACTGCTCCAAACTGAAGGTGGAAATTTGCTGAAATAACTTTTAAAACAGAACTTTTTAAAAATAACTTTAAAAAAGAAAGGCAACGCATGGCTTTTTAGAATTTTGGCACACAAACTAAAATGTTTGTGTACGGACCATTAGTACACAAGAGCTCAATAGTCAATGAAGAAATAAAAGGCCTCTTCTAGGTACCAGACCCAATTAAATAAAATTCCCCACATTTAAATTACGCATTTATTAAAGAGTGACAAATTTATTAAGAGTGACAAATCCCTTGGCATTATAACATTGATAGCACAATCACAAGCTTGATATGCATACTGGAATTTTTCTCAGAGAAATCAGCAGTGATGATAAATGGGAAAGAGAAATTCAGGTCTAAAAACCCCAGTAGACTTTACTTATTATTTAAGTGGTTTTTTTTTTTTTTTTTTACTTGAAAGGCAGATTTATAGAAGAGAGATCTTCCATTCACTGGTTCACACCCCAAGTGGCCACAATGGTCAGAAAAGAGTCAATCTGAAGCCAGGAGACAGGAGCTTCTTCTGGCTCTCCCGTGTGTGTAGGGTCCCAAGGCTTTGGGCCGTCTTCTGCTGCTTTCCCAGGCCATATGCAGGGAGCTGAATGGGAAGTGGAGTTGCCAGGACAGGAACCAGCACCAACATGGTATGCCACTGCTTACAGGCAGAGGATTAACTTGTTGAATCCTGTCACCAGCTCTTATGGTACAAATTGAGGACAGGCATTGTAGTGCAGGTCACAGTGCCCTTGGGACACCCACATCCATCTAGGTACCTGGATCAAGTCCCTGCTATCCCATTTCTGACAAAGTCTCCCATTTACGTCCAACCTGGGAAGCAGCAGGTGATGGCTTATGTACTTGGGACCCTGTCATCCACATGGGAGATTAGGAATTCCTAGATCTTGACTTCACTTGCTCTGCCCCAGCTGTTGTGGGAATTTGGGAAGTAAGATAGTAAATGGAAAAATCTGTCACTTTTAAAGACAATAAAATCTAAAAAAGAAACACAATACAGGATGGCTTCCCATTGAAAGGGTTATTTGTATGCCCAATGGCATAACTTTGCAGAAATCCAATCCTTCTTGACACAAATTTGGCCATTTTGTCTTCCCAGAGGACCTGAATGCCTATCCAAGCAATTCTACTGTATGATCCAGAAGGGGTCAGCCAAAGCAACACTGCCCCCCACCTGAGTCCAGAGGTACAAAGTACTCCAAGCAGCAACCCCTCCCCCATGATTTGAAGAGAGTTTGAAGAGAGTCAGGTCCTAAGATCCTCGTGTGTGTGTGTGTGTGTGTGTGTGTGTGTAGGTGCACACAGGGGTGGGGTGGGGACAGCAATTGGAGTCTAAGTAATTTTTCTGGAATTTCATTTACTGTGGTAGTACATTTTCTACTTACTAAATTGGAACACTACTTTCCCTGCCTTTTAATATTACACACCTTGTAATCTCCTGTAACAGTGCAACCATGGTTCAAACACATAAGGCAAGACATACTCAGCGTACTCCAATTCATTTCAATTATGTCAACTTTATGTAACACGTTTTCTGTTAGAATCATACATTACCATGGAAAACCCTTGTAGACAAATTAAGGAACGCAGCTAAGAATGGCTCCTGACACACGTCATTCTCTTTTGATGGGAATCGTCGCAGTCATGTATTACATACTGAAGAAAAACACAAGGTATTTGGTACTTCTCTTGATCTTGCTCATGGTTAATGAATTCAAACAGTAAAAAAACGAACTTTACTGGTAATGGCAAGAAGGAGCAATGTTGGAAGACAGCCAACAGTATATGCAAATTTGTTCTTTAAAAGCATTACTTAATTTATTTGAAAGTCAGATTTATAGAGAAGAGACAGAGAGACTAGAAAGATCTTCCATCTGCTGGTTCAATCCCCAAATGGCTGCAACAAGTGGAGCTGTATTAGAAGTGGAGCAGCTGGGACCAGAACTGGTGCCATATGGGATGCCACTGCAGTAAGGTGGATTAGCCTTTGGAGCCACCACATATCAGCCCTAAGTGTAGAGTTTTAAGGAAACACTTCTTAGGGGAGAAAAAGACCTCTATGTGCAGTGTAGACATGCAGCAGCTTCTTGTTTCACAATCAACTGGAGTAAGTAAATTCCTTGAAGCAGCAATAACACTGTTACCCATCATAACCGGCTGAGTTAAAGTGTAGCAGGCATTATTAGCAAACCTTTGACATTGGTGTGGTAGGCACAAGAGCGCTGACTGCATCAAATGTGCACGTTGACTGCCCACGATGTGACAGGGCAGTCCAGTTTTCCTATAACCAAAATCTGATTTGCGATGCATGACCCAAATGTGAACTTTGTGACCATATACACTAGTTCATTAGTGAATGACTGCCTTTTCCCGCAGCTTTTAAGACATATGGTTTCTTAGGTGAGTGCCATTCCTGGTCTCTTCATTGCTCATTCACTTATTTTCAGATTCAACAAACAGGCAGGTAGGTGCCTGTGATAGCAAGCTACAGAATGCTCCTCCGGCAAAGCTGATAATATCAACTTGCCAGACTTATTAAGATAGCTTTACAATTATATTACTACTACTACTACTACTACTACTACTACTACAATGCTATTACTATTAATTTTCAGATGCTGCAGGGCCTTATTTTAAGAAATAAAATAATCAAAATAATCTCATAAATGCATTGCTTCATCTTGACTAGATATCCAAAGAGGAACCGGGCAAGGATTCACAAGTTGCCCAGTGTCACCAGAAAAAGTACGGAGCCAGCAAGAGCTGCCACCCTGGCTCATCTCTGTCAAGCCTTTCTCACATCCTGCTTTCCCTCTCTTACCGTTACATTTTCTTCTTTTTGCACTTCACACAATTTTAGAAGTATGCTAACCCCTGGAATCTGGGGGTATCTGCATTCAAATTACTTATTTGAATGAAACAGCAGCTGCCTTTACTCTGAAAACCATCTAAGGATGAGGATGAGGACAGAGGAAGTCAAGCCAATCCTATTGTTCACTACAGCAGGGTTACTGCAGTCCAGTGGCTGAAGCCACAGCAGTTAACCACCGTCAGAGCTACAGTCCTGTGACACTGAGACCCGTCTCGCTGTTGTATAGTCATCCCACGTCCACCTTCCAATAAACACACACTCTCCAGCGAGTCCTTCCTCTAGGCTTGTGCTTTCCGACTGAACTTGGCTGCTCCTTCCCATGTAGCTTATTTTAGTTGGCCTACCTCAAGGTTCGTCCATGCTGTAGCAGTGTCTGAATTTCACTTTCAAATGTGGACTATTTGTATACACATACTTTGTTAGATCAATCTATCCACCCACCTGCGGACATGTGGGTGGTCTCTACCATTTGGCTATTGTGAATAATGTTGCTAGAAACATTAGTATGCAAACAACTATTTAAAATCCTTCTTCCACCTCTTTTGGGTATAATCTCAGAAGTGAAATTATGCTCATATGGTATTTTTGTGGCATTTGTCACTTTTCCCAGTACCATATACCTAAACTGCAGTATACAATGAATTCACCAAACAAGACGTTTTAACAAAAGCAAAGGAACAACTCCAACTCCTTTGTGCTTTGCCCCTTTCTCAGCCCGCTGAAACACCTCACGCTTGAAGTTGAAGAACTGCGCTGAAGACGGCAGAGACATCCAGGCAATTGTCTGGGGCTAATGTTCAGGCAACAGGACCAGCACAGCACCATGTGCAAGCACTTGCAAATGTGCAGAGGTCAAGAATGGGTACATACAAAGCCTGAAGAGTTGTTATAAAACCAGGAATGGGGCGGGGGCGGAGGAAGGGAACTTGAGGAGGGGGACAGAAGACCCCAGTGCACATTAGACTGCATTATAAAAAAAAAAAAAAAAAAAAAAAAAAAACCAGTAACAATGAAAACAGGAAGACCAGTGAGGGTGGCGAAACCCTCACCAAGGCCAACAATTGCACAACACATCACTCCTTGAAGCACTTTTTCCCACCTGCTAAAACACTAAAAATTAAGAGTGTTTCAAGTTACTGGAGAATTTACCAGAACTTTCCCTTCTTGAAAAAGTTCCTTCGGGGTTTCTGTCAGAAATTCCATTTCTGTTCAGGAAAGAAAACTCCAAGGAATTTCAGGAGGGCTAGGGCAATGCCCAGAGTCACTCCCCTCTGTAAATACCCGTAAGCACTACATTGCAGCTTAGAGGAATTTTGGACATACAAGCATATGTGAAGGCACTGGCCTACAGTGTGGTCTAGGTGCTTGGAAAACAAATTCGGGGCCAAGGAGACGTGGCTCAAGAGGTTACTACAGGGTATGGCTCCTCTCTGGGTGGAGGAATTAGGAAGGAGAGGTTGAAAAGCCAGTAAAGAAACAGATACCAGGGTTATCTGAGGAAAGGAACAAATGAAGGATGAAACTGAACCAATTCCCACAGAGAGGACTCCCTTCTGGGTCCCTTATGGTCTCACTCTACCTTAGACTCGATAATACAACAGGTCCAGGAGTAAGCCACTAACTGGACAGGCCTGTACATATGTTAAAAGGGTAGACATGGAGCTGACACTATGGCTTAGCACATAATGCCACCACCTACAGAGCTGGCATGCCATATGGGGTTCAGATGGAGTCCTGACTGCTCCACTTCCGACCAAGCTTCCTACCACTGGCCTAGGAAAAGCAGTGAATGGTCTTTGGGCCTCTTTTACCCTTTTGGAAGACCCAGAAGAAGCTCCTGGCTCCTGACTGGTCCAGGTGTGGCCATTGCAGCCATATTGGGAGTAAATAAGTGGTTGAAAGATCACTCATTCTGTCTCTAATTCTGCCTTTGAAATACATAAATTCTTTAAAAAGTATGCACACATACAGTTTCCCCTGGTCCTCCTGTTGTGTCTCTGATGGGGAAGTTCAAGCACACCCTGCCATCTGTATGTTCAAGGCACATGCAGCACTGCACTGGCTCCCTCCATCCATCAGCCATGCACTGCACAAGGCTCTCTACGGACAGGAGCCTAGAAAGAGATAGCACGTCCTTGTTCAGACAGGGAACCTAACACACGTTACCTCTGTGGGTCCTGCAGGGGATTGTAATCTAACACACAACAAAGTCACGCACTCTGTGTGCCGTGTGTCCTGCAGCGTCTGGAAGGAAGAAGGACTGGCAGTGGGAACACGGGACTCTGTGGAAATAACCCCACCTCCTACCACAGTGGGCTATGCAGAGTAGGATGTAAGCTCAAGATGAGCGTTCCCCACCCTTCATGTAAATGTGACACTGACTTGGTATTTACATCTGCACATCCCTGAAATCAGTAATGTGCCAGCCATTACTGAAGGGTGATCCTTACTTACTTAGTAGAAACTACTCACACTTCACTTCCCATGAAAAGGTGATAGCAATAGCAATAGCACAGGCATTCAACACTTAGTTTTTGAATTAGACTAGATTTTAAATATCCTGAAGGACATAGAAAATGGCATTCTCTTTTCCTGAAACACAAAAGATGTGATTTTATTCATACATTAACAGTCCAGTAGCATCAACATACAGGATGCTATTTCTCATGGTTTAAACTGGAGGGAGTTTTGAACACTGAGTAGTGTGGTGACAAGAGCTGAGCTATTATAGCTGGGTGACCTTTCACATTTATAAAATGTATCCCCCAGGGCCTGGCACAATGGCTCAACTGGCTAATCCTCTGCCTGCAAGTGTCAGTATCCCAGATGGGTACTGGTTCGTGTCCTGAATGCTCTACTTCTCTTTTAGCTACCTGCTTGTGACCTGAAAGAGCAGCAAAGGATGGCATAAAGCCTTGGGACCCTGTACCTGTGTGGGAGACCTGGAGGCTCTTGGCTTTGGATCAGCTCAGCTCCAGCATTGTGACTACTTGGGGAGTGAACCAACACATGGAAGATCTTTCTGTCTCACCTTGTCTCTGTAAATCTGCCTTTTCCAATAAAAGTAAGTAAATATATATTTTCTTTTAAATTCACAATTAGTCCTTAGTCAACACCAGCCTCCTAAAGACTCAAAGATCTCAGCACAGGCCATCTTCAGCCACTGTGCCAATGGCCACATGCTTCAGCTCCACACAAAACGAGGCACAGCAGCTGGGAGTTATATTCTCCACGCCCTAGGAGGGTGATCCCATGGGCTCACGCAGTGAAGAGTTGGGCCACAGCCACCTGCTCCAGATGCTGCCGGTGGTCCTTGTGCGCTCCTGGTGCCAGGTGGCTCCTCCGATGCAAGGCGGCAAGATGGCTGCCATCCTTCAGTTATCACAGTACTGTACCTTTAGAATGGACAGCATCAGCACTGTGATAACTGAGCCAGGGCAGCCAGTCGATCAGGCTCCCCTTCTGGTAGCAGTCACACAGCCTGGAAGGTGGAGCAGCTGAAACAGTAAAAGCCCCAGGTGAATAACATTTTAGAAGCAAAGCTGAACACGGGGGTGATACGTTTTGGTGAGAATGGGCAACTATGCCATCAGGTTTTCACTTTACTAGGAAATCAAGCAGGCAATGAGTGTTGCAGCTCCATCTTTCCCAGGCCTGGCCCTACTCACCCGATTCCCTTGGCATCATCAGCGACTGACTGGGGTTTACAGAGGGAGTACTATGTTCCCAGACATCGGTGAGACGTTCAGGAAATGAAGGTAAACAAGACATGGTGTCTGTCCTCCACACACCCGCAGACAGAGCAACCACACTCCCCTTCTATCTGACGGCGCCTTCATTTGCTATGTGCTTTCTCGTTTGTCTTTCCTGAGTCTCTAAGGAGTTGGGGATGAATTATTCATTAACTCACCAAAAAAGTATTCTGGAAATAGGTTAGACATCATTTCCCATTTTATAGGCAGGAAAAGAAAACAAACAAACAACAACAACAAAACCCACCAAGGTGACTCATCTGAGCTCAAGGAATAAAGGTGTAGTGAACCCAGGCCGCAATCCAGGTCAAATGATTCAACCCAGCATCTCTTCTCCTGGCTCTCAAACTCCATCAACGGATCTTGGCTTACATACAGAATAGTTTTTCTGAAAACATCTACTGTTTTTGCTGGAGATAGGTAGGTTTCCTCAGCAACTGAGACTGCAGAGCAGGAACTGGTAAGGTTTCTATGCTCCAAGAAGAAATGCACATCGTCAGAAACGGCCCTCATGCTCTTGCTGAGAACTAAGAGTGCATGCAAAGCAGGGACACTGCATTTAGACAGCTGTGGGATGTTTCTCCCCACAGCCAGTGTCACCTCCACAGATACAGTGGTAAAAGAATCACTGACAACTTTTGGGATGCCTAGTCAAAAAAAAAAAAAAAAATTCTACATAGACCTATCACTTTCTCTGAAATTATCTGCACATCTGAGATGTGCCCTGAAGTCATTTCAGGAATGCCTCTTACTTTTAATAAAAGATATAAAAAGATTCTGAGATTGGCATTTGCATCAGCATATCAGCTTATTAAAATCAGGATTCCCTTGGGTTTTTTCCACATCAGTCCTGTGAGTGGAACTTGATGGATATTTGGGAAATAATTATGTTTTCAATTAGGCACTTGCTCAATTTCAGAGGCTCATTATATGCAGACTAGATATTAACACCATATTTCAAGTAAGTCAATGAATCAATTCTTTACGTCAGGAGAAGTCAAAATAATACAGATTACAACTGTGACCTTTCTCTTCAGAAAAATAATAAGGAACAACAACAACAAAAATCTCCCTACACATAAATTAAAAACATTCTCAAAAGTGCAAAAATATCTAAAAGTTGAAAAAGCCGTTACCAAGGTCTCAGCCAACTGATGTAATACAGACTTGAAACACGAGAGGGCAATGAAGAATTAAAAAAAAAAAAAACCATAGTTGGATCCTGTAACCTAAGGTTCCTGGAAATAGTTGCATATTTTCACTCAAATTATAAACAGCTGTTAAATGAACAAATCTGCTGCAATAACTTTAAAATATAAAATTTCAGGTAACAGGCCCTTCAAAAAAGAAAAAAGATGAATACCCCACACCAGCTAATCACAGGTTCAGTCTACTTTAGAAAAGATACTTACACTGAAATACAAACTACAGGCTGCAGCGGTGTGGAGACAGACACAGCGCCCTGATCGGCAAGCAGTACTGAACTATCATCCCTAAACACCGGGCAGCACTGTGACTGCAGGCCTCCAGATGAAGCGCAACAGGTGAACTCAGTGTGCAAGATGCAGTGCAGAGGTTAAAACCACTGTGTGAACGTCTCTGAAAACCACAGAACCACTCATTGTTTTGGTCACAATTAAGTAAAGCCTATTTCTTTTTCAACATGTTTTTTTCTCATCTCATTTTATTTCTACCTAAATCAGCAAAGAAATCAAAGTGCCCACCAAAAATAAAGGGTTAAGTATCATCATTCTGTGAAGTTTTTTACATTAAGACTCTCAGACTAATCTTCAAGCAGTTTAATAGCAAGACAGGTTCTAAGAACGGTATTTTAAAAATAATAGATGCATCAAAAATGTAATCTTTGTTTCTTCTTAGTAACTATTCTTTCTAAATGTGACTTTGAAAAAAAAAAACTAAACCAGAAGTATTCCTTTTTTGATAGATTTTTCTTTTACGGATTAGTTTGAACTTAAGACCCAGTGTCTGCAGATACACACACACTGAACTGCAAGAGGGAGGGAGGGAACGATGATGTAAAACGTTTCCCTCCAGACATCAAATTGACTAAATCCAGTTCTTCCATTAAAATAGAAAACAATTTTTTCATGATGCATGAAGCAACTGCAAGCCCAAAATTCAAGTATTTCTATAACACTAGCAGAACAAAGTTGTCGTTAAATAATGGGGGTTATATAGGTGCAAAAACCATAACATATTTGTCTTACCTATGAACAGCAAGTAAAAACATGATGAGTCTAAACCTCTCACTGCCATGCCTATTTACACATTACTGGAAAGGATCAGGAAGTCACAGTTGCCAGAAACACAAAATATTCAAAAATGCTTGTAAACTATTGTTTAGTTCAACTTAATCCACTGGGCTTAAAAAAAAAAGTGAGATTTTCCCCAGTATAAAAATCAGAATTTGCCCTACTGACATTATAAAATGTGCAACTCTGACCACACTGTGTTATTTAAAATGTGCTATAAGCAAAGGATGCTCAAATGTCAACTGAGGCATACAGAATTATGGCAACATGTTGCTATAGCTGAGGGCTTTTTTTTTTTTAACTTATTTATTTTTGAAAGGTAGAGTTAGAAAAAGAGATCTTCTAACCACTGGTTCACCTCTCCAATGGCTACAACAGCTAGGGCTGGGCCAGGCTAAAGCACTGAGCCAGGAACTCCTTCACGGTCTCCCATGTGGGTGGCACAGGCCCAACCACATGTACCATCTTCCACTACTTTCCCAGATGTATTAACAGGAAGTTGGAGCAGAAGAGGTGCAGTCAAGATTCATAACGGATGTCTGTGTGAAAGGACTGGCCCTTGTTTTTAAAAACTTATACCAAAGATTTATAAGGAAGCTGGAGTGAGATGGTAGAAATATTTTTCTGCTTCTTAAAAATGTTTATTTTGAGAAGCAGAGAAAGAGAGATATCCCATCTGTTGGTTTACTCTGCAATCACCCAATGTGGCTGGGATCTGGCAGGCCACCACCGCATTCAGGCCTCCCATGTGTTTGTCAGCAAGCCTATGATATGTACCATCACCACTGGGTCTGGATGAACAGGCAGCTGGAGTCGGAACCAGCAGCTGGATGTGGGGCAGCTTACCTCGTGTCTTACCAACTGACTATCTCCCATTCTTTCATTTTAAACTTCATTTATTTGCAAGGTGGAAACACACAGACACGTCTTCCATACCTTGATTCACTCCGCAGATGCCTGCAAGTGGGCTAGGCAGGCCAAAGCCAAGGGTCAGAAATTCAACCCTGGTCTCTCAGGTGGGCGGCAGGAACCTACGGATTTGTACCACCCTGCTGCCTCCCAAGGTGTGCTTTGGGGGAACACTGGATGGGACAGCAGATAGAAATAAAACCATGCACTGTGACATTGCATGCAGTGTCCAACCGTGGGACCCAATACCTACCCTGACTGCCTTTTTTAGGGAGAAAGAAACTTGCTGAGGAAAAAACCCTTAAGGATCACTACTGAATCCTGGATTCTCAAAGAACAGCCTTCCGCGGCAGTAACCAGAAAGGTGTGACAGCTGCACCTGCTTCAGCACTGCTTGAACTCTACACAGACAGCCTCATGCTGCATAAGACCAGTGATGAGGACAGAAAAAAAATCTATGAGGGCACTTCCAAAAGTTGGTAGAAGATGGAATTGGAAGCTTACACTGGTGCAAAAAAAAAAGCTTGTGAATTTTCAAGTGGAGCTTTCCATAACACACCCTTTTCATGAACTTTTGAACATTTATGGTATTCAAGGATCTCAAAAAAAAAAAGTTTGCATCCAAATAAGCTTGCCTTTGAGTCGCATTTTCCAGAAACGTTCAGAAGTACATTTGTATTTTAGAAGAGTTGCACACACAGAGACACGCAGACAGAAGAACAAGATTTGTCCTTCAGAATAACCAAGGATTTAAGTCTGAAAAGCTCCAGGAGACTACAGGCTTATGTACGAAGTGACCAGCCCGCATTTTCCATCACACAGCCCGTTCCTCTTCAAACTCGCCCTCAGCACACACTTCGGTACAACTGTGGACTCCACCCGTGGCACAAGTTTCTGATTTTCCGCAATGTGGCCTTTTCCTCCAGATTTTACAGTTTGTTCACAAGTCAGTCTTACTAAGTTCACCTCAGAATGGTACCATTTTAGAACAACCAGCCCAAAATAACCAACCAACCTCAAAAAGATCCACCCCAGACTAACAACACCCCCCTCCCAAATCTTGCCAGCCTCCAATTAATCCATGATTTTCTCATTACTGCGACACTGCCATTTAAAAACGACAGGCCTCAGATTTTCAAATTCCCTTTGCTGATGATTGCTGGGGTGACAGATCACTGACGTGCAATTCCAGACCTATGGGCTGTGGCCGCACCCGACAGACTCCACTCTTGTACAGAGCCCTCCAGCCTCTAAGCTTCCCCAGGCCTGCTCCTGGGAAGAGAACAAGCACACCCCTGCTTTCAACCCAGCCACGGTGGCACGGTGCTCGCTTCGTGTCATGTTGCACGCCTCAGCACCACTGATGTCTTGTTTGCTCAAGTCCAGCGCACACTTCCTAAACACAGAAACTTTTCTCCACATCTCTTACATTACGTCCTGGTCATTTCCACAACGTGCAAATACTGGATGAATTCCTGACTTCCCTCATTTCTCATGAAACCCCTTGAGAGGTTATCTGTGTAATGGGTCTGTGCCATCCCAGTCTCTGGTGGTGCCTACAGCCTTTGACCGTTTGTCAGCTATAAACAGAGGGACAGTGCTAAAAGGCCCCTAAATCCCTTCCAGGATAAGACAAAAACCCCTATGCACCCTGTCAGCACTGTGCTGTTTGTGCAGGGATGGGAGTCAGCAGTCTGGGGAGCCCCATTACCACCGAGGAGAGCCCTGCCTGATGGGAGGGGCGGCAAGCAAAAAAAGCTAGACCGAGGTGAATAACGAACGGCCAGCTGAGAAGACCACGGGTCACAACTGTTCCTGGGACAGTCTGGTGTCCTCAGGCAGAGCCGGTGTGTGGGGGCACCCCGTTTTTCCTGGCACATCCCTGCTAGCCAGTCCTTCCGGAACTCTGGGTGGGACACGGGTTCCCAAGCCAAAGTGCTCACAGCAAGCTCTAGTGGAATTCTCCTTGTCCTAGGAATACTGCAACTTTCCTGGGCTGCCCACACTTCTCCAAAGCACATGCCAGGGCAAACTGATTCACAGCCACCTCTTCTGAAATGAATCCACAGGCAGGAAGAAGTGATATATAAGCCAGAATTGTACGACAGAAATAGAATGCAAATGACACACGTAATTTAAAATTTTCTGGTGGTCACACTTCTAAAAAATAAACAGATGAAACTGACAAGAATCTTATACTTTACCCACTACTTACTAAATATTACGACTTCAACATAAAATCAACATAAACCTTTTCAATGCTATGTTTTCTCTCCTACCAAAGCTTCGAAAAATGGAAATCTACTTCACACTGTAACATATCCCAATTCCAACACTAGGTTTTCATTGCAAATACGTAGTCTGTGTTTAGATTTCACAACCTTCAGTTTACTAAGCAAGTGCATATGCTCCAGCATGTTTCCAATAATAAAACTCGGTTATCAATTTTTAAAGTGCCACAAAATGAAGAACGCAGTTCCTCACTCCCCTAGCCAGATGTCTTCTGATTGCTAGTGACATGTGGCCAGTGGCTCCCAAGCAGGGCACCCACAGACAATCCTGTGTGTTACCAGGATTCTTGGAAGCCTGAGCCAGACTATAACATGTTACCCTGTCGGGCACAAGTCCTTTGGCATCTACCAAGTGCTCAAATCATGTCGAGTATTTTCTGCCCTGCTTCTAACTTGCTGGTCCTGCAGTGGTGACCATTTCCTAAACAGCCTTTCCCCAAGCCGGAATAACCTTTAGCTTACAGAGAAGGGCACATGGCAATTCAGGGAGAGATGCACAGACGAACAGAGAGAGAGGGAGTTCACTCCCAAGGTAAAGATGGGACAGGCAGACACCCTTCCTTCTTGAGTCCAGGACATCAGTCACCCAGCAAAAGTTACAGTGGCCCTTTCAAAGGAGCTCTTCTGCTGACAAACTCCCAGCAGCCGTCAGCCAGCGGCCACCGCACCCTCAGGCTCCCCGCCTCTCTCCAGCTGCAGTTCCTACTGCGGAGTACATTCCAAGAGCCCCTCTTTCGAGTTATTTTTGCAACATGGCTTGTTAGTGCTGACCCATCAAAACACACAAGTCATGCAACCAACGAATCTTGAACCATCCTATTAATCATTCATCGGTCCAGGTACCCAAGCCTACCTGGAGAGGGGCTCTTGGGCAATACCCTGCAAGGGAGTATCCCTGCCCTCCCCAAAGCGCTCGCCCTTGTCCCCAGTGTCAAAGTTCACAGTGTTCCTCCCACTGCTGACTTAAAAGTTGATCTTTCACAGGAGCTGGATTCCTAAGGTAGTTCTATTTTGAGCCTTCTTCCTGTTCTGAAGCTAAAGTTGGAAAGGCTCGGGTGGTGATGTCATGGAAGGGAGATGCTGGCTTTCCCAGAAGGGTCTTTTCTGGAGACTCTGGGGACACAAATGGGGATAACTGAGTGTCTCCAAGGCTCCCCTCCTGTCCCTTTTTCCCTTTAGAATCCCAGCTAGCTAACAGCCCACACAAAAACAAGTTGCAGTCAGTAAGCAAACGAGTTTCCCATTTCACCAGTGAAAGGGCTCACGTTTGGGAAGAAGGGAAATATCCCCACTCTGGGGCGGAGGGGCCACCCCCTTCCCCATTCCAGCCTCCAACCTCTATGCCAGGGGTAAAGAGGTTGGGAAAACTGGCGGCTGCTAAGAGATTAGGCATCTAGCAGGCTTGGGCATTGGGATTCGCAGGACAGGGGCCTCGGGAACCGTTCTCTGGCCCGGGTTCCTCTTCCCTTTTGGAATGGTTCGACTTGGGGCTGGGTGTGCCTTCTGCTCCCAGCTCCCGAGGCGGGCTTGGCGCTGGAGAACCAAGAGGGGCCAGGGTGGAGCCCTGGGGAAGCAAGCCAGAGGCAGGCTGCTTCGGCCTGGTTCTGGGCTAAGCTTAAGAAGAAACGGGGGCTGTGGCGGGACAGCAGGTAGATTAGAAACACGGGGCGGGGGGGGGGGGGGGGGAAGAGAAAATTAAAAAACAAGCAACGCATTGGTGCTAGAAGCTCATTCGCTTAAAGCTCTGCATTGGCCGGCAGTGCGCACAAGTCCAAGGCAAAGAGAAAAATCCCAATACATCCTGGAGAACACAACTTTGCCGGGGCAAGGGCACAGCCAAGCGAATACTATCACCAGGCGAAAGCAGCACTCTGGGGCCACTGTCAGGATGGGATGGGGCGGAGGGTGCTAGCGGCGAGTCCCGGAGGGCAGGGGATTCCCTGGGTGCCCAAGCTCACCCCTCTTCCCGAGTGCGATTCAGCAGAGGTGTGGTCCTTCTCCAGGAGGGTGGCAGCTGGCGCGCGGGCAAGGCGGACTCCTCGCCTGGGAAGGCAGGGAGAAGGCCCAGGGTCGGAGCCGCAAGTCTCCTCCAAGTCCCCTCCCCTCTCCTCCTTGCAAACCGACGTGGTCCGGCATAAAAGGTAGCAGCGAAGACCGCCCCCCCCCCCAATAACGTCTCTAATAAAGAAACGGCCTCTCACGCCAACACAAAACTATGAGCTCCGCGTGATGGAAATAAACAGGTGAGCCCCGGGGAGAAGCCGGGAGACGACAGTGAGGGAGGGAAGGAGGAAGGGGGAGGCGTTCCCCAAACCGGCAGGGAAATAGAGGCTTCCCCGCCCTCCCTCTGCACTGCCTCCCTCTCTCCCTCTTTGCCCGGAGAAACTGTGTGGCAGGGTGCGAACTAAAAACGCCACCCCGCCTGAGCCCCTCGCCGCCCCGCGACTACTCGCTCTCCTACCCCAGGGTCCAGCGTCCCGGTCTCGTGGCTGTGCCCGGGTCCCGGGCCGCCGCGCGGGGCTCGCCCTAACCCCTGGCCGTCGCCGCCACCACCGCCACCACCGCGGGGACTCCGGTCTTCCTCTATCTCCTCCCTCCCTCCTCCTCCTCCTGCGTCGCCTCCTCCTCCTCACAGACTCCTCCCGCCGGATCCTTCATGTAAACAACATCCAGGCTCTATTTACAGTCGTCGCCGGACGGCGAGGGAGCCACGCCAAGCACCGGGGCCGAGGCGGAGGTTGGGGGGGAAAAAGCGAGTGCGCAACGTTTACACACGGCCGCCCCGACCCTGAGCGCAAGCCACCCCTCGAGGGGCTCCCCCGCGCCCTCGGCCGGGACGGGTGGCCCTGACACCCTACGAGAAGCCGGCCCTGAGGAAACCGCGGGAATGCCCCGGGGCGCGGCCGCCCGCAAGAAAAATAACAGAGCCCAACAACAACAACAACAACAACAGCAAGCCCGGCCCAGAAACACCCAGGCCGTGCGTCCCGGCCCCGCCGCCCCCGCGCCCCACCCCCTGCCTACCTCGAATGGGCGAGCTGGGAAGCGGTCCCCCCGCACGGCTGCAGGCGGGAGCCCCGCGTCGCCGCCCGGCCGGCCCCCGCCCCGAGCGCGGGCTGCGTGTGTGCGTGTGCGCGCCCGGCCTCCTCGGCACCCCTCCGGCCGCCCCCGCGGCTCTCCGCGCCCCCGGGGCCAGCTCCCGCGCGCCGCGGCCAGCGCTCACCGGCTGCGCACGGCCGCGCACACGGACGCCACCACCGGGCGCGTCCGGCCTCCTCGGGTCCCGCGCGTGTCCCGCCACTCTCGCGCCCGACCGGCCAGCCTTACACCCACCTGCACCCCCCGGGGGTGTGTGTGTGGGGTCCCGAGCCCCGCTTTTCTTTGTTCTTGCCGCTATTTACATGAGGATTATCTAATGACGCAGCAAGGTTCGCCACAACGTGACGGTCGCCATTTTTCTGTTTTTATTCTATCTCTGCCATGTGATAGATTGAAGGGGGTGGGGGACTGGAAAAGGGAGAGAGGGAGAGACTGGAGACAGAGACGGGATTAGAAAAAAAACTTCCGGGTCTCATGACCGGGAAGGGAGAAAAACAAAAGGGAGACGAGACCCAACTCCTGGGGAAGGGTGTGTGCGCGCGCGCGTGTGCGCGCCCTCTGCTCTCGCCGGCCGCGGGCGAGCGGGAGGGAGGCTCCAGCATCTTCTCTCACTACTGAGTCCTTGGCCCCGGGAGGTCCGGGGTCGCACCCTCTGGCCAGGCGGCGGCCTGCCCCGGCCCACACCCGCCACCTAAGCTCGGGGAAGCTGTCAGCCTGGCCCCTTTCACAGGCTCCCTCCACTTGCTGGCCCGCACAGTAGCTCGTTCCCTGCGGCGGTCCGGAGCCAAAGTGAGCTCACTGTGGCCCGGAGAGGGAAATGACAGAGTTGAGAGGTCCCTCAGTTTTTCTAAGGTTCAAAACAGTTTGCTCGGAGCTGTGGTTCCAGACAACCGCGTGGCAACTCCGGGCTGCGTCCGGGAGCGCCTGCAGTCCTGCCTCTCTTTTCCTTGCTCCCTTCTCGCTCTAACCAAAGCCCGACTCAGCCTTGTGCGAGGCTCTGTGGGGACGGACCACCCCCGGGGGGTTGTCTTGTTTGGAAAGAGACCTTAAAACTCCTGGCGATTCAGGGCCAGGGAGACCACTGCGTAGAGCCGAGTGGGTTCGCTTTAGCCCACCTTGGGAGGGCATGCTGAACATTCCAGCGTTCTCCGAGTTCAAGGTGGCAGAGGAAGAAAATGCCTACATATTGGGGGACGCGGTCACGCTTGCCAGTGAGGTGTAGAATTTTGTACTCTTGGGTGTTCGTGTGATTCCTACGGGCACTTTCACTTTTGTTTCTCGGAAAGTTTCTCCCCCTCCCCGCCCCTCTTCTGTGTCAGAATTCCAAGCAGAAATGGATGCTGAAGTTGGCTTGTTCCTCCGCTTCTCGGTGAAGTTCTGAGGCCTTGAATGGTGCTGGAAACTGCTGGAGCACACCTGTCCTTAGCCCACGGTTGGGACCGAGCCCCACTTGCCTGACTTCTGTTAACTGCATGGGATGTGTGTGTGGGCAGGGGACCTTGCTGATGAACGCAGGGCAGTCGTTCCGCTTTGAGACGCTCCCTGAGGAGGTCAGTTTCTCAGCACTGGTGTGCAATTGCTGACCTGCTTTCCTGTGATTTCCCTGTGAATTCACACACACTCTGTCGCTTCTGTGAGAATAACGAAGTTTTTTCCCGACCCCCGTGGCTGTGCCACTGTCTTTTGTATAGTTATCTCTTGTTGCTTTTGCACGGTAAGCTACAGAGCAGTGGACCTGTAAGGGTTATTGCCTTCTGCCAGTAAGAACTGGGAACATCCCTTGTTCATTCTTCATTGCCCATATTTATCTGGCAGGGAACGAGCAGCTGAAGGCCTAAATACAGACCTTTTTCACGATTCCATCCTGGCCCGCTCTAGGAAATTCTTCACATGTTTTCCTGGAAGGTAGAACACTGAAGATGCCTTTTGGTTCTTACGGCTTTGCAGGCCAGTTTTGGCAGCCTCCTTTAGTTACAGAGCCAGGCGAAACATATTTTGATTTCTCAATGTTTTTTAACCGACTGCTCCCCCCACTTTTTTTTTTAACCACATTGGATTTCTTGTTTGCAAATATTTTCTAATTTGTATAAATCAGTTAGTTATGCCAACCCTTGCCTTTTAGGAGTTGGTCGTGCTTTCATAGGCTCCAAAGGTTTGGTGAAGTGTTAGTTGTGATTTAACCCTGCTGGAAGCAAGTCATCATGGCTTGCGTGGTAAGTGAGTTCTCTGATTCTCCCTGGGACCCAGGGACTGGTCAGGAGGCTGGCAGAGAGCGAGCTAAACAGAAGCAACCAGAAAGATGGTAGTATCAGTACCCAAAGTGCACAGTTACAACTTACAGCTACATAATTATATTTGCAGTTCACAGTGTGACAGCGAGTTCCTTTACATCTAAATGGGTAAGGTTCTGTTTTTCAGCCAACTGCATGTAATCCTTTGCATAGGCTGAAATTGGCATGACTGTTGGTAACATCAAAAGCACATGTGTTTCAATGCCAGATAGCATTGAAGTGATTACATCAAATATATCAATATAAACTTCCAGCAGTTTGGATATATGGTTGTTTGTTTCCTTAAATACAAGACTGAAAAACAAGATATGGGCAGTATACCTCCAGATTATTTGTCTTCCACACATGAACACAAAACAACATTGAGAAGCCCTTGGGGCCGGTGCAGTGGCTCAATAGGCTAATCCTTAGCCTGGAAGCACCAGCATCTAGTGAGGGTTCTAGCCATGGCTGCTCTAATTCCAGTCCAGCTTCCTGCTAAAGGCCTGGGAAAGAGGCAGAGGATGATGCAAGTGTTTGTGCCCCTTGAATGCATAAAGAAGACCCAAAAGAAGCTTCTGGCTTTGAATTGGCTCAGCTCCAGCTGCTGAGGCAATTTGAGGAATGAGGCAGCAGATAGTCCTTTCAGCTTCCCGTTAATGTACACCCCTGGAGACAGCAGGTGGTGTCTAAAGCAATGGATTTCTGCCACCAACATGGGAGACCTACACTGAGTCCCAGACTCCTGGCTTTCGTCTGGGCCAGTCCTGCCTGTTGCAGGCCATTTCAGGAGTAAACCCGTGCATAGGGCACTGTCTGTTTTTTCTCTTTCTACTATTCAAATACGTAGCTAAATTAATTTTTCAAATCACCATTCTAAACACCATTAAACTATATCTTAAAAAACAAAACATGCAATTCCTAGAGTCATGAGGCGTAGACTTTGGGACCAGGCACTAATTTCAGCTCTGCCAGTCTGCTGTTTCATCCTGACAAGTTCCTTTTCACTTGTGATTTTGAGCTTCTTTATCCATAACAACACCTAGTCCGGAGAAGAGCTTTTAGGATTGATATTTAACAAACTATCTGTAAAGCACCAGCATGAAGCATGGGACATAATCTTCAATAAACAATACCTGTAATATTTTTTAATGTATTTTTACTTATCTCACACATTTCTCAGAATTATTCTTTCCCTTTTGATTCCCATGTTCTTAAAAGTTCAGTGGGCCCAGTGCGATGGCTCAGTGGCTAAATCCTTGCCTTATAAATGTTGGGATTCCATATGGGTGCCAGTTTGTGTCCTGGCTGCTCTACTCCCTATCAAACTCCCTGCTTGTGGCCTGAGAAAAGCAGTAAAGAATGGCCCCAAAACCTTGCCCCTGTACCCACGTGGAAGACCTGGAAGAAACTGCTGGTTCCTGGCTCCTGGCCTCAGTTCGGCTCAGCTCTGGCCAGTGGGGCCACTTGGGGAGTGAAAGAGGATGAATGATCTTTCTCTGTGTATCCCCTTCTCTCTGTAAATCTGCCTTTCCAATAAAAATAAATAAATCTTTAAAAAAAAATTTAAACAAAGAAAATTCAGCAAGCCTGTGACATGTGAAAGTTCTGCATCCTGAAAATAAATGGAATAGGTGTTCCCCCGCCCCAGGAAGCTCATACTTTAGTCTTGGGAAAGGACATGTTCAAGTATGGAACTGACACTGCAGGGTTGAAGAGAAGCTAATGGTTCACAGCCTTTCATGATGATCTACCTGAGATGCATTTAATGAAGATCTGGATTTATTAATATTTATGCAAGAACAAAGCTTATGGAGGCAGTTAGGGAAAAAAATGTGCCCTCAGGATCACACATTTAGACTTTTCATCTTGTGAGCCCTGAGTGATGTCTCAGTAGCTGAGTCCTCACTTTGCATGTGCTGGGATCTCATATGGGTGCCAGTTTGTATCCTGGCTGTTTCATTTCCCTTCTAGCTCCCTGTTTATTGTCTGCAAAAGTAGTAGAGGTTGGCCTAAAGCCTTGAGATCCTGCACTCATGGCGGGAGACCCAGAAGAAGCTCCTGGTTCCTGGCTTCAGATGGACTC